CGGCACCGCTGCCATGGCAGCCGAGCAGCGCCCGCTGTTCTCGTTTGGGTGCATAGCGGACGCGCAGTATGCCGACCTGGAGGATGGCGACACGGAAGGGCGCAGCCAGCTGTACCGCCAGGTCCCTGGCAAGCTGCGTGCGGCGCTGGCGGAGCTGCGAGCGGCCCGGCCGCGCGTCCAGCTTGTGCTGCATCTGGGAGACATTGTCAACGGCAACGCCGCGGGGCAGGCGCAGTGCGACCGGGAGTTTGACCTGGTGGCATCCATCTTTGACCAGGAGCTGGTGAGGCGCCGGGGCAGCGCAGGGAGGGCGCTGAAGGATGGGTGGGCGCTGAAGGAGGCTGCGTGGAATGCCGCCCGCCCCCATCTTGACTTGCAGGGCGGCGATGTGCCGGCTCTGCATGTGGTTGGGAACCACTGCTTGTCTGTGCCCAGGGAAGTGCTGGTCAAGCGGCTGGGCATCCCAGAGACCTGCTACTACAGCCGCAGGTGGGGAAGGCACGCTCTGCAAGCACCTGCCGCTTGCCACCCCCATGCAGCGATGCCGCAGCAGGGGTGTACGCTGGCCACCCACCGTGGAGCCGCCACCCCGCCCTGGCTTGCAGCCTGGGCAGCGGCTGGCGTCTGGTTGTGCTGGACACCACAGAGATGTCGGGGCACTCGGGCCACGCGCCCGGCTCACGGCAGCACCGGGAGGCGCAGGTGCCGAGCGCTGGGGTGCGGATCGTGGGCATGCCCAGCTGGCGGCCGCCCTTGCCTCCGTGCCTGGCCGGATAGCGCGCTCTCGGCTGCCTGCGTGCGGCATGCGGCGCTCACACGTGCTGTGCCGTTGAGCGCGGCTGCAGGAGTTCCTGGCCTCGCACCCCATGTCGGATGAGGACCCGCAGATGAGCAGCTGGAATGGCGGCATCACGCGGCAGCAGCTGGCCTGGCTGCGGTCGGAGCTGGCTGCGGCAGAGGCGGCGGCGGAGCGGGTCATCATTGCCAGCCACCACCAGCTGGGCCAGGGCGGCGCGAGGGCCACGCACATGGCCTGGAACTGGCGGGACGTGCAGCAGGTGGTGGGTGGGTTTGGTGGGAGGGAGCAGGGACATGCCTGTTGCAGCGCCCATGTTTTGAGTTGGGCCCATACGTATACGTGAGCAGCCTCCAGCCCAGCTCACCTCTTGCTCGGCAGCCGCGCCCACGGCCCACCGCCTGCGTGCAGGTGCTGCTGGCGTCGCCCGCCTTCCGGCTCGCGCTGGCCGGGCACGACCACATGGGCGGCTGTGCCTGCATCAACGGCCGCCACTTTGTGACGTTGGAGGCGCTGCTGGAGGCGCCGCCAGGCAGCAACGCCTTTGCCGTGCTGCATGTGTTTGGCGACAGGATACGGATTGCGGGCAGCGGCAGCGTGACGAGCCGGGAGCTGGCGGTGTGACACACCTGACTGCTGCTGCATTCCACTTGTTGAACCGATCAACCTGAACTTCAATGAGCAGTTTTCTTGAAATTCCACATCAGCCACAGGAGTAAGGCTGCCTGAGTGTGTAACAGCGGCACTCGCCCGTGGCCCCGCTCGCTGGCGCGCTGCCGCCGCACCAAGTTGTGCAGTATCGACCGGGTATCCCGGCATTCATCAGTCGATTGCACACGTGTTCCCACCACCCAAATCAAGAGCTTCAAGGCGAGCTGGGCTGAAACCACGAAAACGAGTGACCTGACCGACTTGCAGCCAGCGATGGTGTTTGTGATCGACCATGCGTTGCAGTGGCGGCACGGCGCAGCGAATAGAACGTTGCCAGAACTGTACTGCCCACCCTGCCGGTACATTGGAACTGGAAGCGGGTTTGAGCGGCGATGCAGCTCTGCCCGCACACTCCTGGAGCATCCACAAGGCCAGTAAGTACCCGATCTTCGGCCAACAGCTCCCGCGGCTCGCCAGTGCGAGGGGGCTCCGACAGGAGCGAGGCGGACTGCTGGGCCAGGCCCGCGTGGTTTCCAACCAATTGGTCAGTCCGGTGGGGTCACACACACGGAGCCAGAGGTGCGCCTGGAGTTTCTGCTGCTGCTGCCAAATTATCTGCTGTTGCCGGTCCCCTTGCGGGCTGCAGCGGCCGCGGGAGGTCTCTGCACTTGTGATTGCGCACCCCGGTTGTTCTGGGAACGTTGCAGCGCCCCATCAGGCGCCCCGTTTCAAGGCATTTAGTGTTCCCGCTGGTGGCCTCGGCGGGCCTTGCTGACCCTGCCCGGGTGTTGTGGCACTCGCTGATGTGCAACATATGCTGGCCCCGTGCCCCGGCAGTCGCCCCCGCGGGTGTCGGGGTGTGAGCGTGTCGTCTGGCTGCCCCTGCCGCGGGGCTGCCACCAGCGTCGCTGCAGCTGTTTGCAGAGGTGCAGGGTTGGCTGGGCTGGCCGCCTGGGGAGGCCCGCCGATCGGCTGCCGATCGTGTTCCCTGGCCAAGGCCCCTGGCCCTCCCACACCACTTTTCCAGGCGGCCGCACTCCCTGGAGGCCGCTGCACGCAATGCTGCCCGCCCGCGACTAGGCAGCCGATTCTGACCCCCGCCGCCGCCGACTGCCGCAGGCCGCCTCCACCACCAGCACACCACCACGCCATGCTGCCGCACCTGAGCTGAGGGTCATCTGGGCAGCATGTCGGAGGTCAAGGACGAACGGGATGCCGAGATAGACGCGCTGGATGCGCTGGGCGCGCTGGCCGACTTTGCGACGTGAGCGCGTGGCGGCGGCACGCGTGGCGCCCAGCACCCGGCATGCCCAGCCACCCGCAGCGTCTGCTGCCCTTGGCATGTATGCCCTGCCCCTGGGGCCCTGCCCACCGCCGCCGCTGCCACGCCGCCGCTGCAGGGATGCGGCCAAGGAGGAGCCTGAGGGCGGCGGCGGTGGCGAGGCCGGCGGCGACGCCGAGGCCGCGGCCGCGCTGGCAGCAGGCGCCACCGCCGCACTGCGCGGCCTGCCGCAGCAGGTGCCCGTGCAGTACGACCGGCTGGGCCGCGAGCTGCAGAAGTGGATCCAGTGCAACCGGTGCGAGAAGTGGCGCAAGGTGCCGTACGGGCTGGACGACAAGGATGTGCCAGAGGAGTGGCAGTGCAAAGACAACATCTGGGACGCCGCCTTCGCCTCGTGCGACGTGCAGCAGCAGGTGCGGTGCGCGCGCGGGCGGCGGGCATGTGGTGGGGGCGGGCAGGTGCTGGGAGCCGGCGGGGGCAGCAGGGTAGCAGCACCGGTGGCAACAGGTCAGTTGGCGGGGCGCCCGCTGCGTGCCGCATGCCGCGTGCAGCTGATGGCCGGCCTCCCGCCCCTGCCCTGCCCCCTGGCTCCCTGCAGCTGACCAATGAGGAGATCGACGAGCTGCTGGAGACGCAGGCCGCTGAGCTGGCGGCGGCGCAGCAGATGATGGCGGCGCAGCAGGCGCAGCAGCAGATGGCGGCGGCGGCGGCCGCCGCTGCCGCCGCCGCCGCCGCGGCAGCCGCCGCGCTCAGCAGCAGGAGCTGTATGATGACCCTGGGGCTTACGATGATGAGGATTACGAGGATGAAGGGTGGGTTGCGGGGCGGGGCTGAAGGGGAGGAGGGTGCTGTGGATGGCAGGTGCAGGGTGCATCCAGCGCTGGAGGCAGCACCAGGAGGGAGTGTGCTGATGGCGGCGGGTGGCAGCTGTGGTGTCGATGTGCGCCCTGCCTGGCTCTGGCCGCAGGTACGGCCGGCGCGGCAAGCGCGCCAACGGGCGCACCGGGCGCGGGCGCGGCGGCGGGCGCTGGGGCGGGCGCGGCGCCAAGGGCCGCTCCCGCCGCCAGCAGGAGGTGTACCAGCTGCCTGGGCCGGGCAGCGCTGCGGGGCGCGTGGCCCTCGACGACCGCTCGCAGCGGCAGGGCAGCCGGCGCAGCGGGTCGCTGCCGCCGCAGGCGCGGGGTGGGCGGCCGCAGCGCGCGGCGGGCGGCCGGTTTGCGGGGCGGGGCGGCGACCAGGATGAGGCGGCGGAGGCGCTACTCGGCATGGGCTTCAGCTTCGATGTGAGGCCTGCTGGGGGGGCTGGCCCCGTCCTGCTGCGCTGCCTGCTGGGCTGCCGAGCCTGCTGCCTCGCCTGGAGCCGGTGCGCTGTGGCCTCGGCGGGAGCGGCCTGAGCAGCCTGCGCCGCGCTGTGCTGCCCGCTCACCGCCGGCGCCGCCGCCGCCTGCTGCCCCTGCTGCTGGCGCAGGGCGAGGAGGGGGAGGAGTATGGCGGCGCGGGGCGCGAGCGCTATCCCCCCGGCCGCATCGTGTGGGCGCGAGTGGAGGGGCACGAGTTCTGGCCCGCACGCGTGGTGCGGCGGCGCGCAGGTGAGAGCACACACAGCGTGGTGGGGGCCTGCCGCCAGCTGCTGGCTGGACGCCGGGCTGCGCCGCCCCTGCCCCGCGCAGCACCCGCCTGCCTGCCCGCCCGC